GGCGACAGAGGAAGATGGTGACGCTCGCCGAGCTCTTTTCCTTTTTACCTCTCGGATGCTCTCCGCGGCCGAGACGGTGGCGGGTGGCGGGAGACGGGAGCCTCGGCTGTCTCGGGAGGGAGCGCACTCGGAAAGGTGGCGTCCTCCCGCCCCGCCGCCGAGGGAGGCGAAGCTGAGGGCAGGTGGCACTCTCGGCAGACCCCCGGGCCCCGCCGGAGCGGAGAGGGTCGGGGGACGGGGGGCGTCGGGCCCTTAGCTTGCGTGAACTTTGGGGTCGGGGATTCCTGGGCTTTGCCCTGCTCGAGCATCTTCCCTTGCTCAAGACCGCTTTGTTTTTATCCAGCTGCCAAGTGGCATCGCCAGGGGAGCCCAGGACCGAACCTGGGGTCTGCGGCTGGCTCTGTGGCTCGGGGCTGGAGGCTCCGGCTGCATCCCTAGGGAGGTGCTGGCTGGAGAGCGACTTAGGGCCTGGGGGTTGTCGTTGTAGAGCGTGTGTTGCAGAAGTGTAATAGGCCGGGCTTCCGAGGGCTGGCTGACCGAGCCCTTGCTTTAAGAGGAGTGTTTGTTTCCTTTTTATTCAGTAGAATTTGAGTCGCGTGCCAGGTGTTGCTGTGTGCTGTCTGCACCTGCTGCAGCGTGGCAGCACTCCTAAGAGCCAAAAAAAAAGCGTTCTCAGGTGGCTTGATAATGAGGGGAGATGTCATTTGAGGCAATTAATGCTTATCTAAGAAAAATTGAAGGTAATTATGAGTGCAACCGTGTAAACAGGTTTTTTCTGAATTTTTTGAGACCCTTTTTTCATGGTTTTATGGTGTCTTGCACTAAATCCCAAAGTTGATATTGGGAACATGTTAAAATGCAGATTCTCTGGCACTACCTCCAGATGTACTGGTTGAATGATTGGGAAGGTGTCCCGGGAACGAGCATTTTAAACAAGCCTTGCAAATAATAGTAACTGTATTGCAGTTATCCTTCAGACTGTCGCTTGGACCCCCCTTGGAAAACACTGAAACAGATAGTGGATCTCTGGGCAAACTTACAAAAAGTAGTTTCCAAATTGTCTTTGGCAAAATTAATTTCTAGTCACTAGTTGAGTGTTTGTTTTTCATTGGAATTTACATTTAGATATTTTTCTAAAATGGGATCTTTCGTTTTCTCTTTATGTAGCATATATTCATTTTTTACTTTATCACCAGTATAGGAGCTTTATTTTAGACTTTTTCATTTCCCACTAATGTGTAATTGATGTTTTATAATTGTGCCTGTACTTTTTATTTATTTATTTATTTTGAGTTGGAGTCTCACTGTGTCTCCCAGACTGGAGTGCAGTGGCACGCTCCTGACCACCGCAGCCTCGATGTGTTGGGCTCTGCCACTCCTTCTGCCTCAGCCTTCCAAGTAGTCAGAACTACAGGCATCCGGCTAATTTTTGATTTATTGTAGAGACTAGGTCTCGCCAATTTGTCCGGGCAGGTCTCGAACCCACGGGCTCAGGCAGTTCACTTGCCTTGGCCTCCCAAAGTGCTGGGATTACAGGCTGAGCCACGGAGCCCAGCCTGTACTTTTTATTTCATTTTATTTTTTGTAGAGATGGAGTCTTGTTGTGTTGCCCAGGCTGATCTTGAACTTCTGGCCTCAGACAATCCTCCTGCCTTAGTCTCTCAGAGTGCTGGGAATACTGACTTGAGCCCTTGCATCCGGCCTACACCTGTACTTTTAATTTCACTATCCCCAAACAAATGGAGTTCAACAGTTAAAGATTTGTGCATATTCAAAGTAGCATTGTGCCAGTCTTCAAAAGTGAATATATTTGGTTTGTGTTGCCAGAGCTACTTTCTACTCTAGTGTTTGATCATTTTTTTTATAGTACTTTGATCTGTAACAGGCTTAAGTGTACATTATCTCATTTGATACATCACAGAAGTGGGACCATTGAAGAAACTGAAGTTCAAAGAACTTAAGTGTCTTAAGAAAGTGAAGGGCATTAAATTGGAACCCTAATGTGGTCCCCTTCTGGTTTCTATAGTATATTGGTATATTCACTTCTCTGTAGTACAGAAAAGCAGAAGGAAACCAGGAAAATAAAATCGTAGATTTCAGCCAGTTCTTTTACTTCATTAATATATTAAATTGATAGAAAAACAGTAAAGATAAAGAGAAGAATTAGAAGTTTTGAAAAATACCTCTCTTCACAAGAATCTAAAGTCACTTGAGATAAATGTTTCGAATATATCTCCTTGTGATAAGAACAGGAAAATACTTTTGAGCACATAAAGTGATACGCATTTGTATATCTCATGCCACATTTTCTTTCTTTTTTTTGTGAGTCGGGGTTCACACTGTCACTCAGGTTGGAGTGCAGTGGCATCACGGCTCATTGCAGCCTCAAACTTCTGGGCTCAAGCAATCTTGCCTAAGCTTCCTGAGTAGCTGGGGCTACAGGCATAGTCTGATAGTAGGCCACCATGCCCGCCTACCTCTACCTGTAGTATTAGGCCACCACACCTGCCTAATTTTTAATTTTTGGTAGAGACCAAGCTTCACTGTGTTGCCTGGGCTCAAGCAGTCCTTCTGCTTCAGCCTTCCAAAGTGCGTGGATTACAGGCATGAGCCACCACACCTGGCCCTCATTTTCTTGTACAGGAAATGCAAGTATGCTTTGTAGTATGGTAAGCCACTAGTAATTAAAGGCATAGTGCCATACAAGTGATACAACAATCTTCCTATACAAAGTAATTTCAGTAAGACATATTTAAAATTATTCTAAATGTACTTCTGAGGTGGCATGAAATCAAGGAATACATAGCAAATGAAAAGCCAGAAATGAGGGCCTGAAATAGTGCTGTAACTAGTCCATTACTCTGAGGGCTTCTCCCAAACCTTAAAAATCTTGAGCTGCTTTAAAAGTTGCATTAGGTGGAGTGGGCAAGAAATAACCCTATGTCCAGAGAGAAGAAACTAATAGGAGACTCCACCATAAAGGGACTACAGTTACATCCTCAATGTAAGGGTAATGAATTCCACAGTGAGTAAGGGGAATGTAAGGAAACTTGCTAGAGAGAGGGAAAGAAACTCCCATGAGAATTTGCAACCATGAGCCGGCTGTTACACAAGTTTGCAGGCAATTTATGCTCCTTGTGCTGGGAAAATTTAATTTATAGCAGTCCCAGATTTGTATGCTCCAGGTTACTGGTAAACACAAATGTCCATCGCCTGGAGGAGTTTATTTTCAACTCAAGCCTTGAAGAATTTTCAAAGATAAAGTGCCAAAAAAGAATAAACAGCTAACAGTAAAATATCACAAAACACACAAGTAAACAGGGCACAATGAATCAGATATTAGAAAGACTACAGAAACAGACAGGTATTAACCTTAGGTTTTAAAATTGTCAGATAATTTAATGTTTTTAATATGTTTAAATAAAAAAAAGAAACTTGAAGCCAGGTGTGATGGCCTAGCCTGTAAATCTCAGCACTTTGGGAGGCTGAGGCAGGAGAATCACTTGAAATGAGTTTAAAACCAGCCTGAGAAACAAAGCAAGGCCTCGTCTCTACAAAAAAAAAGTTGGGGTTTTTTTTGAGTCAGAGTCTTACTCTGTTGCCCAGACTGGAGTGCAGTGGCCGCTCCTGGCCACTGCAGCCTCGACCTGCTGGGCTCCAGCGATCCTCCCGCCTCAGCCTTCCAAGTAGCTGGAACTACAGGTGCTCGCTACCACGCCAGGCTAATTTTTTTTGATTTATTGTAGAGATGAGGTCTCGCCAAGTTGCCCGGGTGAGTCTCGAACCCACGGGCTCAGGCAGTCCACTCACCTCAGCCTCCCAAAGCGCAGGATTACAGGCTGAGCCACCGAGCCCGGCTAAAAAAAATTTTTTTTAATTGGCTGGGTGTGGTGGCGTGGGTTTATAGTCCCAGCTACTTGGGAGGCTGAGTTGGAAGGCTCACTGCACTCCAGCCTGGGCAATACAAAGTGAGACCCTGTCCTCACACCCGCCCCCCCCAAAAGAAACTTGAAAGTAGGAAAAGGGAAAAAGATTTTAAAGAATAGCCAAAAAAGATGTTTAAAATGGAATACAAATTCTAGAAATTAAATGAAAAACTAAATGGATGGATTAAATAGTTGATCATATCCAAGTGAGGAAGTGATTATTGAATTAGACAGCCATTTTGTGTTGCGTTTTCTTTCTACTTTATCTCCCATCACCTCATCTTCCATTCTTACTCTCAGCTTCATACCTAGCAAAATTGGAGTAATCAGAAGAGAACTTCCATAGCGTAATCCACATCAATCCATTTGCTAGTTTCTATACCCACTCGTACTTTGACTTCCTGTTGGTGACCAAAGATGAACTGTTTGTGCTCTTACCAAAGGCTAGCGCCTCCACTTGTATGTTAGGTCCCATTTCTTCTTTCCCACTCAAGGACATGGCTCCAGCAATCTTCCCCTTTTTTCTCCTGGGTTATCAAATTTTCCTTCTCGAATAGACTTTTACTGTCTTCCTAGAACATGATGTTAATTCAGCTGTTTTAAAGTTCTGTCTTGACTCGTGTGTTCCTTCTGCCTCCTGCTCCAGAAAAACTCCTCAGAAGAATTATATTTATTTCATTCCTCCTATTCTGGCCCTCTGTTCGTTCTTTAGCCCATTCTAATCAGACTTTCGCCCTTACCACTCCTCTGAGACTGCTCTAGTGAAGGTCACTGATGTCCTCCTTATTGCTAAGGCTAATGGTTAGTTCTTAAACCTCAGCTCAACCTGTTGGCAGCGTTTTTTCCCAGCTTATCACTCACTCTTTTTGAAATGCTTTTTTCTTTTGATAAAAAGAAAAAAAAAATGTAATCACTTTTTCTGGTTTTCTTCCTCTGTTCCTTCTCAGCTCTTGACTGCTAGTCATTTGAAGCTCAGAGTGCAAAGTACTTTCCTCTCTTTATCTTGATCATCTCATCTAGTCTCCTGGTTTTGAGAATCACCTATGCAGTAGACTGTCAATCTAAGCCCCCCTGACTAGGAGTACCAGCTCTAGGTCCAGATCCATATCTCTAGCTTTTTTCCATCATCTCCATGTGGATGATTAATTAGTAGGGGTCTCAAAGATGGTATGTTAGGAACCGAATTCCTGATCTTTCCTCCCACGTCTACTTTTCCTACCGTCTTCTGTCTACTTTTCCTACCGTCTTCTCCTCATAAAATGTGCAGGCCAAACCAGCCTCACTGTTATTCTCAAGCACAGCAAACATGTTCTTGCCTCAAGGCGTTGTGCTAGCTGTTACCTCTACCCAGGACACTCTTTTCTCTTGCTGTTAAGTTTCTGTTAATGGGTCACTTTATCCAACATGTTCTCTTATCTAAAATGTTCCTTTCTTTGATCATAAAATATAAAAGAGAAACCCTTCACGCTCACTGTATTCCTGTTACCCTTTGCTTAGAACTCTCCAATGGCTTCCT